CCCCCCCCCCCGCGTCCGAGAAGGCGGAGCCACTGCGTGTCCTGACTCCTGCCTGGGATCTGGCTGGGGCTCTAGCAGTGGGGCCCTGCTGCCCCTCAGCCAGGTGGGATAGGTGGGGGGAGGCGCCGGCAGGCCTTTCTCATCTACGATGAGGACCAGTGCTTAGTTCAGCATAAACCTTTCCTTTTTTGGAGGGGTGGAGAGAGAATTTGAAGCAGGCTCCGCACCCAGCACGGAGCCCAGCATGGGGCTCGACCTCATGACCCTGAGATCATGACCTGAGCCAAAATCAAGAGTCAGACACTTAACGGACGGAGCACCCAGGCGCTCCCAGCATAAACCTTTCTGGAAAGAAAGTCCTCAAGATGGCGGGCGGGATGGCCCCTGTTTTACCAAGGAGATCTGCTTTGCTCGTAGCATAGATTCTGGCAGCAGAATGCTGATGTTGCTTTCTGAACTAGGTCATTGTTGGCACTGATTTTCTTATATGGCCGTGGGGCCACACGGCCTGATAATGAGTTGCCAAAGGGCAAGGGACCCTGCTTGTTGAGTCCCCTGCTGTCCCTGTATTAGCAGATGTCTCCCTTCATGCCAGGGACAGTCTGGAGCCTGGTTTACAGCTGCTCACACAGTGGCAAAGAGTGGGGACTGACACCAAACTCGAGCAGATGCGATACAAAGCAGCGGCCGCCGACTCCATGGGTACAGGCTTCGGGAAAGGGCTTTGGGGGAGAGGGTCCGAGCAGCAGTGTGAACAGCTGGGTCTTGCGTCAGGCCAAAGGAAAATTGGGCAGTTTATTAAAATGAAACACTCCTCCAGAGTAGAGAACATCTGTCTGTACCTGCTCCCTCCCCCAGGATGGACACTTTTCTCCTGCAGTGATGGGTGATTTCTGTTGAATTGGTCACCTGTTATTGTGTAACCTCTCCCCAGAGTGTTGTGGCCTGAAACAGTGATGCTGGAGTATTGCTCATGACTCCTGGGGTTGACTGAGGGTTTTCCTGTGGGTCCTGCCTGGGCTCGTTCATGTGCTGGTGGTCAGCTGGAGGAGTGCTGGCCGTCTGCACTTGGCCCCGGGCTTTGGCTAGTGTCTTGGTTCTTCTCCGTGTGACCTCTCCAGCAGGCTAGCCCAGGCCTGTTTTTGTGCCGATGGACACATTCCAAGAGGTCAAAGGCAGGTGCTCTAGGGCCTCTTAAGGTTTAACCTTGGAAAGAGCCCAGCGTCACAGGAAATCCCAAGGCCAGCCCTGATTCAGGCCACCTCTTGGTGGGGGCAAGGGGCACAGTGGCTTTGGGGCGTGGACATAAGGGGATGGAGTTGTTACTGTAATAATCTACCAGCTTGCTTCCTGGCCCTGAGGATCCGTGTCCTTTACACCTGCAGGATATACTCCTCTCCCGTTTTTGCCCTTCCCTTGTGGCACAGCATCGACCTTAAAGTCTGTGCTCTGCCTGCCTCAGCCAAGGATGGCCGTGGTGGGGCCACCAGGTTGCAGCTCCTTAGATCTGGCTTCTCTTGATTCAGGGAGCTGTGACTTGAAAAGATACCCCCAAAACAAACCAGCCAACAAACGTGGCAAGGTTGGGACAAGGTAACCGCAGCAGCAGATAGTCTTATTTAAAGAGTGGGGGTAGCGAGGGGCATATAGCAGTAAACGGTCCCTGGCAGCTCTGAGGTCCGGCCCGGCACACGCTGTCCGGCCAGCATGCTCCTTCTCAGCATCATAAACTGTGGTGTCTGTTGGTGGTGGTGAGTAACCAACGCACCACAACCTGGTGGTTTCAAACAACAGATTTATTCTCTCTCATGCTTCTGTGGATGACAGGGCAGTTTGGCTGGCCTTTGCTGGGGGCCGTCAGTGGCTGCAGTGAGCAAGTGGTGGGGCTGGGGGTGACCTGAGCTGCGGTGCTTGCAGGGGCTGAGTGGGTCCCTCCCACATGCGTTCGTTCCCAGCCTCACCAGCTCTTTTGGGGCCTAGGTTTAGAAGTCCCCACATTCTGTTGGCCAGAGCATGTGTCAAGACCTGCCCAGATTCAGGGGATGGGGATGTAGGCTCTTTCTTGCTGGGAGGGAGTGCCAGTCACTTCGCAAAGGTGCATGGTCATAGAGAGATGCGATTAATTGGCAGTTATCTTGGTAGCAGGCTCCCACGCTATCCTCTCCAACGTTGTGGGAGTTTGGATACATTTTTGTTGGCTTCATTTTCTATTAATTCTCGAAAAGGAAATGCCGCTGTTCTTAGCATGGGGATGGGACAGTTAACAGAGGGGTGTCAGGTTAGCTAACCTGAAACAGGCCATGTCTTAGTGGCATGTCTGCTTGTCAGGGCTGCTTTGCTTCTCTCCCCAGGTCTCCTGAGCAGTGGTTCTCAAAGTGTGGTCCCTGGACCGGTGGAGTCTGCGTCACCTGGGTGCTCTCTGCTTCTTGGGCCGCACACCACATTTACTGAACCAGAAATTCCGGGGCGGGGCGGGGGGGCAGGCAGTCTGTGTTCTGACAAGCCTGCCGGGTGATTCTGATGCCCCAAAGACTTGAGAACCACTGTTCCTGCAAATTCAAATGGCTCTTACTACTGCTTCCTTACCCTTGCAAGCTGGAGATGTTGCCATCCCCACTCCCTCTTTCCTGGGCCCTCTGTCCCTCTGATTTAGGATATTCTTTGTAGTATCTACCCCAGATGGTGTTTGTGTCAGTGTAAGGCTGGGGCTTTCTTTCTGCTCCGGGGACATTTATTGGCCATCAGTCATTGTGCCCAGGAACATGGGTATAAAAGTGAGTAAAACATGGTCCCTGAGTTCCCTCAGCTTCTAGTCTAGTGAAGGAGGTAGTGTGGGAGGGTTGGCCAGTTCAAGGAAAGGTCAAGTGCAGTTCAGGTATGTTTTAGCTTGAGGTGTCCATGTAGAAATATATATCTAGCAAGTCATTGATCTTAGGAGTTAAAATTCAAAAGGCAGGGCTGGAGCTGGCAATTTTGGAAGTTACCGTATACATGAAAATTTAAAACCATTTTTCCTCAGAGATGGCTATTCATCAGAATTAATTGGGGTCTTAGAAAAATATGGATTATGTACCCCTGCCCTATGGATGACTGAGAGTTTTGGGATCTCCCATGTGTCCCAGGGGATTCTGACCAGCCAGGTTTGGGAAACAGCCCCAAACGTGAAACTGCATGGGGAGAAGTAGCCAAGGGGTAGGAGGGCCAGTGTGGAGCCCCAGGGGGGAATGCCTGTCATATGCGGAGGTGGGAAGACTCCTCTGGGAGCGGGGAGCCGGGGGGCGGATGGGGAGGAGACAAGTGCAGAGCAGGGTTTAGATGCCAGGGGACTGGAAAGTTACCAGAGGGAGGGCTTCGTGGAGGAGGATCGGATTAGGCACTGCAGCCCTGGTGGCCAGAGCTGGAGCCGGCCTGCAGAGGGACCGGCGAGGGGCGGGGCACCTGGCTGGACCCAGTGACTTGCAGGGAACTCTCAGGGAAGGAGAAGGTGAAGGAGGAAGGCAACCAGGGAAGCCCAGTGTGTTTGTTTTTTCAAATGGGAGAAACCCGAGCAGGCTGGCAAGGGCGATGGGTCTGTAGAGAGGGCTGAATGGAAGAGGGAGCAGCGAAGCAGGCTACTGATGAAGCCACGGCCCAGGGGTCAGAAGGATGGACTCCAAAGCTCAGCGCTTAGGATTGGCCTTGAAGAAAAGGAGGGCCACCCCCGCTCATCCCAGAGGGAAGGAGGTAAGGGAAGGGGTTTGGAAACGGGAGTTTCTAGCTGCTGAAAATGGGTGTGGTCTCTCTCATGTTCCTTTTTCCTGGCAACCCGGGATGCGTTTCTTGCTTACTTTGTTCATTTTTACGGATAGAGTTAGTGGGTTTTGTGAGCTTTTACCTTGTTCAGTGTGCAGTCTCAAAAACGGGGCTTCTTTGGCGTCCGTGAGCCCACCCATGACTTAGTGTGCATGTGTTAGGGTATGTTATTTCTGCGGGGTTCACATTGTAGCACAAAGCAGCACCTCCACACTGGAAATGGGCGGGCTGGGGTTCAGCAGTTCCTCATAAGGCACTGCTTGGAACTCGGTGTGTTTCACCTTGAAAGCAAATTAGCGGTTAGTGCCTGGTTGGCCCACAGAGCTCCGCTAACTCACAGTGCTGCCAACATTGCTGTAATTCTGTGTTGATCTCCCCCCTCCATACCTCCTCTTCCTGTGCCTGTTATCCTCCCCCTTTTTCAGCCCCCCTCCTTCCCCATCTTCCTTCCTTCTCCATGTTTCTGTTCCTTACAAGGACTGGTAGACTTTGAGGGTGGGCCTGGCATCCTGTCACTCATGGGAAGCATTTTTGAGGGAAGGTGTGTAATGTGGCGGCTCCCAGGGTCCTGTCTTACTCTGTGGGGTTTCGGGTGGTGCCAGCAGTATTTTGGGCTGGGTGGTTCCTCGTGCTAAGATAGGCAGTGGCCCTAAGTCTCCTTGCTGAATGTCAGTCTCGCCCCTCAGTTTGAGACAGACACCCTCCCTCACCCCATACCATTTCCAGGCACCCCCTGGGGTTGACAGGTTGCTGCTTGTTGAGAACTCAGCTGCTCACACATCTTTCTGGTCAAGGAGCCGTTAGGATGGGTGTTGGGAGTCCCCTTGGAAATGTACACAGTGTGTGTGTGTTCACCTAATCACGCTAGTGATTAAGAGCTTTCAGAAGCAATTTCAAGGGCACGATGTCTACGAGACAAAAGAAAACAGGTTCTTACTGTTTCCTGGGATCTGGTTAAAATACTTAGGCCAAGGTAGTACTGTAGGTAAAGATGAGTAGGATTGCATTTGCGGGACTTCAAACATGGCTTGTTAGGAAATGATTAAGTGCTGGTTAACCTATATTACAGTATATACCAACCTGAACTTAGAAAATTTGGCAGGGGGAAGCAGAAGGAGAAAAGTGGAATATTTGCTTAAGTAAGAGTGTTTTTCAGTAAATCCATATATCCTAATGCATTGAAATAAGTGTTTTGGTTTTTATTTAATAACTGGGTTATTGTTCTCGTTTGCACACTTGCCGGGTTTCATAGAGGCGAGGCTTAGAAATCTCTGTGTCCTGAGTGTGAAGAGCTGTGGTCACAACCAGCCTTGACCGTTAAATGAAAAAGACTGGAGGACTGTGTTCTGTATGTTTGTAAGGAAAAAAAAAAAATCCGTCCCCATCTTGTGAGTTACTGAAGTTTCTCTTCTTTTCCTTCTCTCCTACAGAACCTGAAAGCAGATCCAGAAGAGCTTTTTACAAAACTGGAGAAAATTGGAAAGGGCTCTTTTGGTGAGGTGTTCAAAGGCATTGACCTTCGGACTCAGAAAGTGGTTGCCATAAAAATCATTGATCTGGAAGAAGCAGAAGATGAGATAGAGGACATTCAACAAGAAATCACAGTGCTGAGTCAGTGTGACAGTCCATATGTAACCAAATACTATGGATCCTATCTGAAGGTAAGGCTTGAAAATAAGAACGCGATGTTCCATGATGCGGTGCTTGACCGAGTTGGAGCAGTGGACGTGAAGGGTGTCGGTAGCACAGCAGGCTTTCAGAGGAAGGAGAAATGTTCTGACCTTTGCAATCAAAAGAACCTGGCTTTGATAGTTTTATCATCTTAAAGGTCACCTATAGAAATATATTTTGGTTAAAGTGTTTGTCGGCGTTCCCTTTCAAGGAGGAAAGTATTTCTGAGTGAGACTTTGTCATCAAAGACACATTTATTCTGAAGGTATTGTAACGACAACCATGAATTGATCCCCGTAAAACCATGAATTTAGCATGGTTTATCGTAAAAACTCATGCTGACCCAAGAATATTAGCCTCTTGATATTTTCAGTTATCAAATGCAGTTTAATGTTGTTTTAAAAACTGCTGGAACTGATAATGTTCAGTGAGCTAGTTCATCTACATTTGACTTTGAAGAATTCTAGGTAAGTAAATAATTACTTAAAAGAGTTACAGTACAACACTACACGTTGTCCTTGATTTCACCTAGTTCTGTGAATAGGAAAGACAAGCATTGAGTTGGTGTTCCCAGTCCTTCCTGGGGCCATTTTAGATGTCGTTGGGCACTCCGGTTACACCACTAAGAAAGCAAAAGGCTGTCCGTTGGGTTTCAAGTCCCTTGACTTATGCCTGTTTTACTGACCTTAACAGTGTAGTATCTTCCGAAGTGGGGTTTTGGAAATCTTAAGAATTGAACAAAAATTCTAAAATAACTCCTGTGGAAACTAAAACTTCATAGGTAGGAAGAACTTCCCGAGAGCAAGGCAGCGGTAAGCCCAGAGAATGTATGGCCAGGCTTCCTTCCGACCTGGGTTTATCCTCTATAAATTCTTCATGTTGCAGCTCAACACCTACTCTGCTGTCAGAAGGGACAGTGCAGGCTTTGATTTTGTGGAAATGGGATAATAAGGTATAAGTGGAAAGGCGGACATTTTGAGAACCCATTGATTCACTTAAATATTTAAAGAAATAAAAATCGAGTGGTAATCCAGTCTTTTTTTGGCAATATGACGTAGGTTCAAATGGCAAAGGATGGCAGTCTGCCGTAGGCCAAATGCAGCCTTTTAAAATGGAAAGAGTAAGTTTTGGAGTCTGACGTCTTAGACTTGAATCTTGCTTGTCTTGGCATGTGGCTTTGAGCAAGTTTATTTGTTTTTTAAAAAATTTCCCTGCTTCCTCATTTGTAAAATGGAAAATTATGGTATATACCTCATTTTTGCAAAGATTAAATGGTATCAAGTATGCAAAAATACCTGGCATGTGGTAGCTACTTAATGAGTGTTAATGTCCTTCCTTAATTTATTCATACCCCATCTCTGAAATTACCTTGCAATAAAGGACGTATTCACTGAGGTCAGAGCAAGGAGGAGGAAGTATGACAATGATAACAATGGATGGTGGGGTGGGGTGCATCCACTTTGGGTCTTGACAGGGCAGAGAGGGAAGCACTGTATGCTTTGATTGTCATGGTCCAAGAGAACACGTGTGACTTCCATATGGGAAAGCAAAGGTCTTCTTGATGTTAAATTTCTATTGAGAAAAACAAATAGCCGAAGAAACTCAACTTGAACTCTGTCTGCTAGATCACTTACTATTCTTTGTGAAATGACTTTGACAGTAGTTTTATAGTAAAGTCAGAGTTACATTTCATGTGGTATGTTGATGTTATATTTTAATATGAATCATGGTACCTTTGGCAAAGGAAGGGTGGAAGGTTCTCAAAAATTTTTGGTGATTTATGCCAGCTAATAGTTAACTATGGAAATAAAGGATCAGTGGTTCAAAGGTATCTTTTTCAACCCAGTTCTCCAGCAAAATTTTTACTGTGTGCTGGAATAGATTGCTTTATTGTGGCCAAACATGGTGGTGACTGTACATGTTTAGAGATTCCGTCTGGTATGTCCTGTTCTTGCTTGAGTGACTTGATTCTAGAACATATATTTCAAGTGAGCCTCACCTTGATCCAGAGTTGCCCAGTGATGTCAGCTGCTAGAAAAACCCCCCCTAAATTTATAATAGCTCACACGTGATACAAGTTTATTTCTTGCTTGCTGGTAGTCCTGATTTATGGGCAGTTTTCCTCCAGACAGTGATTGAAGAACCCTGGTTCCTCCTTTCTTGTTCTTCTTTCCACCTTCCGTGCATGGCTGTGCTCGTGGGCTTTAAGTCACTGTGGGAGCTAAAATGGAGACTCCTGTGAGAAGTGTCCGTGTGCCCAGGCCTAGATATGGAACACGTTTTTTCTGCCCACATTCCCCTGGCCAGTCCCCAGTCATACCACCACACCTGACTATGGAGAGGCCGGGAAGGAGCATCTCATCATGAGCTTCCTGGAGCAGGCATTGGGCTTGGTGCTCAGCCAGCCGTCCCTTTCCAAAGCCACTTACTCTGTAAAGGAAGTAGAATAACTCCCGGAATGATGTTCTCCACTGACTGTCTTCAGGAGGATGAAAAGTTCGGATAACTTTGTCTAGAGTGTTTTCTATTTTACTAGGCAGATTGTCTTTTAGAGGCTAGAACTGCCTCAAGAATGCCAAAAATAGTATCACCATTGTGAAAACTTGACCTTGGCTTCTTAAACCATGTAAAACTGGATTCTGTTTAATTGGATTAAAAACATAAAGGAACTTCTCTAGTTAAGTTAAGTTGGGCTGGACAAGAATCCAGACCTGTGACTCTTATCTGCTGGTTCCTGTATAACAGTTTCACGAAGTCACTTGGCCCAGAGGAAGAGCCTCAGTGGTGAGCCAGTTTAGGTTTGTAAATTCCTAACTGTTGGGTAAGATACAAATTAAATTGACACCTAAGACGGATGGGTCAGTGGGTCTTTGACAGTAAGTTGAAAATTACTGTGCTTTCTCTGGTTTTTGTTGCCCTTCTAAGAACTCCCCATAGCATTCAGAGGTAATATTCTTAGTTCTTTAAGGGCTGATGGGAGAGAGGGCCTTCCATTTCACCTGGTGTTAAGGACTTTCACATACCAAGATTGGGCAAAGAAAGAAATGAGCAGAAACTAGTTTCTTTGTATTGGGTTAGCACTTAAAGGTCCCCTAACTATGTGTCCATTGGTTTTAATCATCTGGTTTAGAAAAAGAGATTAAGCACAATAGGTAAGCAGTGGTCTGAATATATTGAATGTTACTGAAGATGAGGGGAATGGAGCTGATTTCTTACTGTGTGGCTGTGATCAAATCACAGAACTGCGGTGTAGCAAGTTTGTCCCCCAAAGATTGAAAACAAAAACAAGATTGGGCGAAGAAAGAAATGAGCAGAAACTGGTTGAAGGAGGAGAGGCAATAATTCAGTGATGAGAGCTTAAGGTTCTGTTGATGAATCTGAAGCCCCGATGGGTCTTAAAGATTACCAGGGACCAAAGAAGAACTGCATTTGTTGTAGTTCAGGTGTTTAATGTGTGGGAAATTAAACCATTGAGAATATTTAATTAACCAGAAGCCTCTGAATCCCAACCATAAACCACTGGAATTTCCTGTCACAAAAATACCATCCACAAGGTCATAATGAAACTGTGTGTGTGTGTGGGGGGGGTGCTTTGGGTGGTGTGCAGGAGAAGAGAGAACTTTTTGGTTTTTTAGTTAAGCAGTAAAGACACAGTAAGATCATAACAGAGGACATGATGTTATATAGGATTCTAAGCCTGTTTTCTTTTTGTGCAGCGTTCACAAGTGCTATTCATCCTCTTTAGCTACACAGATCTCTTAAGTGTTTTTGTTGTTGCTGTTGTTCTGCGGAGATAAGCGGGTTATTAGAATCTCCACTTTGAGATTCACAGAGCCAAAGCCAGGATTTTAGTCTTGGATCTTAGCATAGGTACTTAACTGTCCGTGCATTCTTTAGGCTGCCAACTTCCTCAGGGATAAAACGTAGAAAAAGAAATTTCACTTGCGGGATTACTGATCAAGATTGAGAACATGTAGATAAAGTGCCTGGCGTGTAGGAGATCTTTAGCAAATGATAATTTTTTTTAATAAGAGACAAGTTACCTGTGCCAAATGAGTCAAAATTCGTGAGTCTTTTTTTTTAGATTTATTTTTTAGAGGGGGGAGGGGCAGAGGGGGAGAGAATCTCAAGGGGACTCCCCACTGAGTGCAGAGCTCAACTGGGGGTGGGGCGGGGGGTGGGGCTTGATCTCACGACCCTGAGATCATTACTAGAGCCGAAATCAAGAGTCGGGCGCTTCACCGAGTCACCCAGGTGCCCCCCAAAATTCATGAGTCTTAAAAACATTATTAGCATACTAAAAATTAGGTTTATCGTTTTTCTTTTATAATAAATTACTTAGTATTTTCAAACATTAAGCCGGCTTAACCAAAGCAAATCAAGTGCAAGGCAAAAAATCCAGAAAACAGAAAAGCTGTGTTTATCTTAGTTGTTTTTGTTGTAGTATTAATACTAAGGAAACATGTCCATGGAGTGAGTAGGTGTCTTAATAGTGAATTCAGGTCCCCAACCTAAAACTAAGTTATTCTTCAGTTCTAAAGAATTTTAGGGTAATTTTACTCGTCAGATTCACTAGAAAACTAATATGGAAAAGTCCCCTGATGAGTTTTAGAAAACTAAGTGCTCTACGTAAATAGAAATTAGGCTGGTAAAAGGGTTGGCTGTGTTGTGTACATTACAAGAACACTTTGCAATGATTTTTTTAGAGTTAAATTATTTTGACTTCTGAAGTCTTTTTCTTCTTCCTTTTCCAAAGGGAAAATAGTTCCCGATGAAATACAAAAAACAGTCATTTTGCCCTTAGGAAAAGAAGTAAAAGAAAAACATGTATAAATGGCTGGCATCTTTGTGAACGAGGCTGCTGGGTGGGTTACCATCCACCCACTACGCTTATGCTTCTTGTCCCACTGTGACTACTAACGGCCTCTCCCTTGACTTTCAGAAGCATCCAAGTTTGGAAATATAATCAGCCTATTATGCTTTATCTCCA